TATTATGGGAATTAGCAACAGAGTAGGTGAAGCCAAGAATCAAATCAGCAACTTGGACTATAAGGAAATAAAAACACCCAATCAGAACAGCGTAAAGAGAAAATCCGAAATCATTCAGGACCTTGGAAGGGGCCTCTTGGGATAATGTCAAGTGTACTAACATTTGCATCGTGGGGGTGCCAAGAAGGAGATGAAAAAAGAAATTGAAAACCTATTTGAAAAAATAATGACTGAAAACTTCCCTAACTTGGTAAAGGTAATAAGACGTGTAAGTCCAGGAAGTACAGAGAATCCCAAACAAGATGCAACCAGAGAGACCCACACTGAGACACATAATTAAAATGCAAAAGTTAAAGACAAAGAACCTTCTAAATCCTCGCCCAAGGGCATATTATTATTGATTTTGTGTGTGTGTGTGTGTGTGTGGGGAGAAACATTGATCGGTTGCCTCGTATACACACCCCAACAAGAGACCGAATGCACAGCTTAGGTATGTGCCCTGACTGGGAATTGAACCCATAGCCTTTTGGTGCCCAGAATGACACTCAAACCAAATGAGCCACTTAGCCAGGGTGACAGAGAGAGAATCTGAAAAGCAGCAAGAGAAAGGCAGTCCTGTACGGGAGTCCCCATGAGGCTGCCAGCTGCCTTCTCAACAGAAACTGTGGGGGCCGGGAGGAGCCGGCAGGCAATATTCAAAGTGATGAGAAGCAAGGACCTGCACCCAAGATGATTCGACCCAGCAACGCTGTCGTTTAGAATTCAAGGATGGATCAAGAGCTTCCCAGACAAGAAAAACACCAAAGGAGTTCATCATCAAGCAAACTGTTATTACACGGAACGTTGAAGGGACTTCTTGAAGAAGAAGAAGAGATAAAAATATGAACAATAAAATAGCAATGAATATATATCCATCAATAGTTGAATCTAAAAAATAAAATAAACAAACAGAACAGAAACAGACTCATAGACACAGAGAACAGTTTGATGGTTGTCCTGTGGGCGGGGGTGAAAAAGGTGAGGGAATTAGGAAGTTCGAGCTGGTACTTACAGAGAAGTCCTGGGATATAAAGTACAGCACAGACAATGTAGTCAATAATATTCCAACAACTCTGTGTGGTGCCAGGTGGGTACAAGATTTATCGGGATCGTTATTTAGTACATTATGGAATGTCGAGTCCTTGGGGCACATACCCGAAATGAGTATAACAATCCAGGCCGACCGTAATCGAAAATTTAAAAACATTTAAAATAAAACAATAAATGTCTTCATCACCCGTGACGGTGTAGCTACACCCGTGTATTTCCTCTTTTCTCTGTCATCGCTTCTAAGAAAGCCACAGGACGCCCCCCACCCACGGGTTCTCTCACCTGTGTGCGAGTTTCTTTTGAGGGTCAAAGGTAAAACAGCAACCTGCTTGTTTCATAGTCGGGTAACACAGTGCTGTCAAAACTTGCATCTTTTACCGTTGAATTCCCTAAATATTCGTCCGGCAGTAAAAGCAAATGGTGGGACACTCTAGGGGTTTCAAAGTGGGGCCACATGCAGCCGCTCTTGTAACGGGGACCCTCTGGGCGTGGGGATGAGGCATGGAGTCGAGTGCACGGTCTTTACTTTTGTTTATGCCCTGCCTTGTTGCAAAACTAGTTTGGGATGCGTGCACTGTGACCAGGTAAAGTAAATTTAGGGTGAGAAAGAGAGAAACGCGTCCATGGGGGCACAGGCATGGGGTCGGCCAGTGCTCTCTGCTTCTTCCCAGAAGTGCCGGCGACCAGCCTGTCGGCAGCCGAAGGAAGGAGACCAACTGTCCTCCTTCCAGGTGGGCAGAGGGGGAGCCACAGCCAGAAGCTGCCTCGTCCTGATTCCAGGGGGCGAGAGAAATGTCTCCTGTGGATCTTCAATCGGAAGACACTGTGCTTGCAGTGGCCCGTGTCCTCCACACAACCCCAGTGTCCTGCCCCGAGTGCCCTCGCTTCTGAGGGGCACTCAGTTTCATGGTCCTCAGGGCTTGGCGGGTGTCACGCCTCTGCCTGCGCAGCGAACGGTCGGTCACTAGGCTGAGATGTACGTTCATGGGTTTAATCTGGAAATCGCTCTACAGGGACCTAGAGGGACAGGTGAGCACGACCACACACCCTCCTACGGCTCCTGAGCACCGTCTCCCAGAGGCAGGGGGGAGTGCGTCACTCTAGCGGGCTGCCCTGAGCAGAGCGCCCTGCCTTGCCCACGGACACTGGGCTCGCAACTGCCACGCCAAGCAGCGGGGGTGTCCGAGATGGCACTTGCGCACTGGGAGTGTAACAGGAACTGGGCGAAGTATTTTCCTTAAGAACAACAAACAGCTCCGCACGCGGCCCACGCAGAAGACATGGGGCTTGTTCACGGGGGGACGCCAGAAGTGTGAAAGGGTCAGGGCCCCCTTCCTGAGAAGGCCCGGAGCACCTCCAAGCCTCAGTCTGTCAGCCGGCCGTGGCCCGTGGGGGAAGGGGCTGAGCTTTGCGGCCGAGTTTGTTACCCTCTGGCCTTGGGGACACCTCCTCGGTCAGTCTGTACGGCCAAGTCCAAGGGCCAGGCTTAGGTGCTCTTGCAGGACACCCCCTGAATTGAAATGCGAGGTGGGCAGCAAATACTGAACCGGGGGTCACCCCACAGCCTGGGAAATGGTTCCAGGAAGCACGTCCACGCGGTTAGATTTTTGGGCTACGGGAGAGTGTCAAACCTGATCCTGAGTCAGGTGCCGAGGCACCAAGTTCATGGGCGGCTGGAAGTTGTGTGGGGAGACAGGTCAGATGAGAGGCCACCAGGTACCACTGTGTGGCCACAGGTGGGGGCGGGCTGCAGCGAGCGGCCGTCCCGCTGCTCCGGCTCAGACTGGCCTGTGCCTCTGACAGCCGGTGCCGCTGGGGGGGGGGGCGTGGCGTTCGTGGTCAGGAAAGGCTGTCACAAAAAGCGCCGTCCTTTGTGGACTTGTGTTTTATTCTATCGCTCATAACAAGTGCACGCCCTCCTCCATCTGGTGGCTGAAAACAATGACCAGTTATCTCCATGGTTCTGTGGGTGGCTGTCCCTCAGCTGGTGGGGGGCTCACGCATGGGCTGCCTCCCCAGAAGGGTCAGTGCTGGGGGGTCAGTGGGGCCGGAAGGTCCCCACGGCTGAGCAGGGCTGGTCGGCAGTGTTGGGTGCCGCCCGTCAGCGGGGCACCCTCAGCTGTCTGTGTGGCCTCTCGTCCTGCAGCAGACCGGGCCGGTGGCAGCCTTTCGGGCAACCCCCAGGAGAGCGACGGGCGGGTGCCAAAGGTCTTTAAGGCCTACCTGGGCTCCAGAGCCCTCCTGGCCGGCCTTCTCCTGTGTTGCTGGTCAGCAGGGGCAAGGCCAGCCCAGGACCCTGGCGGCGGAGACCCGGACGGCACCTGGGGACGACAGCAGTGGCCGCGTCCTACTGCAAAAAACAAATGGCCGTCCCGTGATTGATGGTGGTGGCCAGGGGGCTGGTGCCGCTAACTCGCGTGTGTAGTGAGCCGTCTGGCAAGGATGCCTTTGAACTTGGCTTCTGCTCCGGGAGGCCGAGAGCTCTTGCCCAGGGCTGTGGCGTGAGGCCGGGCGAGGATTCGGTTCTCTGTCTCTCTCCAGCTGCGTGGGAGGGAGAGATTCGCTCAGTTTTCCTCAGTCCTGTGAGCCCACCGAATACCGCCTCTCGTTCCGCGTGGGGAGCAGGCAGTGAGAGAGAGACGGAGGCACCGCCCTCCCTGGGCACGCGGCCACTCGCCCCCCAGGGGCTCCTCAGGGTGGCAGTGTGGAGGGGAAGGGCCCTTGGCCCCCTTGGGTTCCGACTTCCTAGGGGTCCCCTCAGGGGTGGCGTCCTGCCAGCACAGGGTCGAAGTGCTCCGGGGAGACGTGCTCAGCTAGCAGGACCTGCGCCCTGAGGGAAGTCATGGCGACCTCAGCCGTCGCTGTCACAGGAGGGTACACGGAGCGGGCTGAAGATGGAGGGGGACGGGTGGTGACGGTGTGAGCAAGCCTGTCTAAAACTTTGTCCTCAAAGGGGGCGGGTGGGGCAGGGGGAGAAGGCGAGAGAAACAGGAGTGAAGGACTGAACTGGGAGCCGGCGCCTCCAGGGGGCTCCAGCGGGTCTGAAAGCCCATAGAGAGGCCCGGGTGAGGGAGAGTAACGGGGAGCAGAAGGTTCCTGGGGGCCCGGAAAGGAAGGAGGTGGAGCCGCAGGGTGGAGGGTGCCCGAGCCGGAGGGCAGGGGGTGGAGGTGCAGGTATCCGAGGAGATGGCTGTGGGGGGGCGGACGGGGTGGGGGCGGTGGCGGGCTGCAGGTTCAGGGGTGGGGGGGAAGTTTCTTTGGTGTCCACGCCCATGTGAACGAGGAGGGCAGTTCTGGTGTGAGGTGGGTGTCAGACACGCCCGTGTGCATCCCGGCCAGGTGCCGGCCACCAGTCGCCCGTGGATGTGAGTGGACGAGGTCCCGCCCTTTTTCCCACTTGCGCTGTGCGGGCCTGAGCTTCTCCAAGTCATGAGCACAGCTTGGTTTTACCCATTTCCACCGTTTTCTTGCTCCATTCAGTGAGGACAGGGGCCACTGCTTCCTGCCAGAAGCCAGGGCTTTCTGGGGCAATTTGTGAAAATCCTGGCTCCATCCTCGATCCCGCGTGACGGATGGAGCGAGTGGCTGTTCACTGAGAAGCCGAGCCGGGAGCACGGCTCCGTTTACCTGTGTCCGATAGGCCTTTCGTGGAAGCCACGGCTTGATTACGAGGGCCCTGCAGTTCCCGACGGGGCTGTTTTCGCAGAACGGGGCTCAACAGACACCCCACAGACCCCGTGAACCGAGAGCAGGTGCGGAAAAGACCGAGTGTCCAGGAGAACAAAGACTCAGTAAAAGCTAGCTTTTTAAGGAATAATGAATTTCTTGAGGGTGTACTTCTGAAAAATGTGTCGGTGAACTTACCAGCTCATAAAACGGTGGTAACGTGTAATTTCTACTGTGTTTTACAGCATAACTTTCGGCAGCCGGTCAGGAAGGAGATGCTCACTGCCTACGTTGAATTTTCAGAGAAGTAAATGAGTAGCCAGTGCCCGGCCGCCCTCCAGGACCATCGGGACGCCCGGACCGCGGGGCCAAGCCTTCCTCCTCCTTGAGGTTGTTCGTCCCCTCCGTCCAGTCCCATCTCAGGTCAGATGCCCCGCGCTCTCCGGGTCCTGATTTCGTCTTCTTCGTCTGTCTGCCCACATGGCCTCCAGAGCCCTGTTTGCTTTGCTCTCGGAAAAACATTACCCCTATTCTGTCTCACTTAGAAAGCCCTAATGATGTGTAATTCATGTACAAAACGCTCTTTTATGTATTATTTGGTTAATATGAAGCTAAAAGACCACGAGGCAAAACCTTTAATATCCAGTAAACACAGGTTTTTGGGGGTTTTTTTTGTAAACACAGTTTTAAAAAGGTAAATGAGCAATGGGATTAATGGATCTCGGAGAGAAGAAGGGGCAGCGTCAGCCTCTTGCCATCAAGCCCGTGCCCCGGAGAAAGGAGGACGGAGTTCATTACCAGCGTGCGCGCTGTTGGAAGCGCCTGTGAGGGGCTGGTTCCGACTCTGAGGCTGGGCTGCCGGGGGTGTGGGCAGCGGGGGCGGCCTCTGTTGACCCAGTTCCTTTTCCTTGGAGCTCAGCTCTGTCCCGGGAGGGGCTGGAAGGCTTCCAGGCCCCGTTTCGGTCCCAGGGTCCCTGCGATTTCTAGGAGCCGGACAGAGTTAGCCCCATGGGACAGAAAGCATGCTTTGAATGTGCCTGTATTCACATTGCCGTGCTTTGCACTGGCTCTGTCCTTAAAACCTGAGGCTCCTTTGTGAAAATCTGTGACCTTAGAGATGAAAGCTGGGGGAGACTTTCGGGCCAGGGATAGTCAAGGTTGCAGAATTTAAAAACAGTTAAGTGCTAATTTAAGCAGTAACAGTGGTATGGTTATTTTCCCGGGTGGTATTATTCTTCTTAGGGTTTAAATGTTGTTTTAAATGTTGCTTTTGTCCTACTGTAACATTAGTTTTTATTATGCAATTACTTTTTTGTTTAGCGATTGTAGATAATGTTAATTCTATTGTGATTTTTTGGCTTAATTGTTTCTTAGAAATGATCTAATCTACTCTCATTTTATAAATGAAGAAATTGAGACGTGGAGAAATCAGGTGATCTGTCCTAAGTCTAGTTAAAAATATTACTAAACGAACATTTCAGTTATGGCACTTGAAATTCCTTCTCAGTGTTAAACCCTAAGACAAATAATTTTCAGTATCATGATGTTGAATGGATCTCTTGAAATTTATAATATTGAGATCATTAAGATAACAGGTTTCCCTTCTTTTATTTTAAATGCAAATTAAAGATATATGCCAACCAAACAACCGCAGTTCGATTCCCAGTCAGGGCACCTGCCTGGGTTGCAGGCCAGTTCCCAGCAGGGGACACACGAGAGGCAACCATACATTGATGTTTCTCTCCCTCTCTCCTTCCCTTCCCCTCTAAAGTTAAATAAATAAAATATTTTTAAAAAAGATGTATGCCAAATTGCTGACAAAAGCTTACAATTCTTGTGGTTTCTTAGTATGCTTACATTTGTGCTAAATTACGAAGTACTAAAAACCCAATCAGGTATTTTTTTAAAGTGAGAAAAATGAATTTAGATTTCTCAGGAGCCATTGAAAGCGATTTCCCGCCCTGGCTTCTCTCTGCAGGTAGGAGGAGTATGGACGCCCGCGGGGGGCTGCCCGCCCGCACCGACACCGACACCGACGCCGCACTGTCCGCCGGCACCGTGCTGGCCAGCTTCTCCGTCTTCCAGCTGCTGTTCCACTTCCTGAGCTCCTGGTTTTCAGCGGCCGTGTCTCCAGGTTTCAACAGCCTCAGCCTCGAGAAGAAGATTGAGTGGAACTCGAGGTAAAGCTTATGAAAACGGAATGGGTTTTTTTTAACATTATTTAAAATATTTCCAAAGAGTGTTTCATTTAGGATCTAAGAAAATCTAAGCTCCGTTCACCTTAGGAATACAAGAAAAGTAGACAGATCTCCTACAGGAAGAATTAAAAAATTTCTTAGATTGAAGGACAGCAGGACACCGCGGTGCAGCTTCCCGGGCGGTGGGGAGCGAGGAGGGGAAGCCGACTGCAGCTCTGGAACGCGTCTGCCCTGCGCCTTCTCCTCTGGAACACCTCTGATGGCCAGCACGTGTCCCGTGGACGGGACGCAGAGATAAACATGAGCGGGGCCAGCAGCCTATATATAGTGTTGGCCCGCTGAGCCCGGGCAGGGAAGGTGACGCCACGCCAGGGGAACAGCGTGTCTCTCTCTCCACGATCTTTGTAGCACAGCCTGGAGCCTTCCAGAATTCTTCTTGTGCTCCATGAATCTCTAGTAAGAATGGACTTTCACTTTAAACAAAAATAAGTGGAAGGGGAGTAAGACATATAAGGATGTAAAAAGTTGTGTTAGTTTTAGTTGCAAATTTTGCGTGTGCTATGGGGAAAACTTTTCATTGTTCTTATTTAGTGGGAGGTAGTGCTAACTATACAATGAATCCAGCAGGCCTCTAAAATTCCCATAACTGTCACCAAAACTACGTGGAGAGAGAATTCTCACTTTCTGGATGAAAAGAGCTGTAGCCGGTAGGGTTTGTCTGAGACAGAAGGGCTGTAACTTGTCTTCAGAATAGCTCAGAGAGAGCGCTCAAATGTGGGACGCACGAGATGCCAGCCACTGCTTTCTCTGCGCCTGTCTAGCTCGGAGGCAGAACAGTGGGGAAGAGCGGGAAGTGCAGGGGCTACACTCTGTCCGGGGCTGAGTCCTGAACCGCCTTCATTGTCTGTTCTCCACGGTTGGAGGTTGTGAAGGCATTTGAGTCTCAGAGAGCTGCTCGCTGTAGAAATAGGGAAGGTGCAGAGAGAGGGAGGGGGAGGCAGGGACCACGACCCACTGAAATGAGGACATGGAAAAGTGCTTCTCCCGACTCAGTCTTACCACGGTCCTTCTCTGCCTGGGGTCGCCCTCAGGGAAACCGCGTGCCCACTTGAAAGAGGCGTCTGGGGTCATAGCTCATCACTCTTTTCCAATGCCCCCCCGATTTAGTCCTGCTCCCCACTGGAGCCGGGTCTGCGTGGGGCCGAGGCCGTGAGGTGGAGCGTGCAAAGAGGGAAGAAACGTGGCTGCTTTTGGGTGAAGTAAACACACGCGTCTTGAAATGCAGCTTCCAATCAGGAGACAGACCGACCAGCACCACCCGAGTGCTTGTCCCTGGCGATCGATCGGGAAGGAGTCCGTGAGGAAGGCGTGGCCCAGGCCACCCGCAGGAGAGGGCAGGAGATAAATGCACCTGGGGGTCACACCTGGGAGGCAGCAGTCTAATTAAGTGTAAGTGAGAAATCGCGGTGCTGCATCCTTGCTTTTTCTGAGCGCACATAGGTTTTATTTCTGCCGTAACTGTGTCCACGTGCTCTCCCGTGGAGGAGAAAGTCCTGTTACTTCATCCTCCTGACTTGAAATCCGCTTCTCCAAAAACGAACCCTTTCGTCGGAGCTGTGTCATTTCTTTGGTAACACTCATCATGCTAGCGAACGGCCAAGCCCGTGACTCCAAACTGCTGGTCTACAATGGTCATTATTCCCTTAAAAGTAAACCGCTGTCTTTTTAATAAGCATGATCATTTCTTTTCAACCCTCTTTGGGAAGAAACTGAAATATTTTATCTTGGGTAGCCTTCCGGTGTGTCTTTTCAGACATGACAGAATCTACCTTTTGCTTCGCCAGGAACCTGGTTTTAAAGTGTGAACTTTTTACTGCTGGGAGTTCCCGAGGAAAGACTTGTGGTGTGACGTGCACACAGAAGCCCAGGGCCGCCGCAGGTGCAGCCCTTCATGGGGGGTGGGGACTGGCCCTCCGGGCGGCGCTGACCTGCTGGCACTCGCTCACCGGATGTCCACTCCGCGGGCAGGGCCTCCAGCACTTCCGCTCACCAGGAGCTGTCAGCCCAGAGGGGAGCCCGAGGCCTGAGCAGCGGGAACCCACAGTTAGATTTTTTCTGAAAGAATCTTTCTGATGTGGGGTTACTAAACACTAAAACAGGTTCGTGAGAAGGTGCGTGTTTTCTTCTCCCAGAACTTTTGAATGGCCACAGGAAGCCATCGGCGCGATTATTTAGATGGAGTCTTCCTTTGCCCTCAAGGGTCCTCACACCGTTATCCTGCTGGGTTCAGGACCGGGGGTGCTTGGCCTGAAAACCCCGCCTTGTGTGCCAAACACACTGGGTCAGTCAGTCACGTGCCCACATGGCCCTTTGGTGTCACAAAGGGCCTTTCGTCACCATCTTTAAATTGGTGTGAATCTTTGAACATTGAAAATGTGATCAGATTTAACTTGATGTCGATTTAGGGCCACACTATATATTAGATTAAGTATGTCGACTTTTCAAGTTGAATCGTATTTTATAATATCAAGATTTATATTGGTTGATATATTTCACTCACTTTTAAAGACTTGGGGTCATGTGGAGAGAAATTCATTGCACACCATTAGTTTCTAAAGAAAAAATTTTGCTATTCCTTTCATCCTGTATTCTAATGACGAGGAAGAAAATTATCACTCATTAGCCAATCATAGCACTTGGATATTGGTCAAGCCATTCAGTTATTAGCAAGATATGCTCAGTAATGGATGTTTTTCATCCAAACCGTATTCCTCCCATCAGAGAAAACCTGAATCTTGTGAGCGTTTGCTTTCACTTGGGCGTTTCTTTCAAAAGCAGGTCTTTGTCAGACATGGTTTTTTGTCAGTCCTTGGTTTTCTTGTCTGGAAGCGCGTTCTGGTCAATGGCAGCTTTCTCACCGGCGCGGCGCGGAGTCGAGGGCAGTGATGGACGTGAATCTGTGTTTCACGGGCCGTTCGAGTTCTGATTCGAGGGTCGGAGTTGGTTGAGGCCGGCAGACCTGGAGGGCAGTGCTAGCTGAGGGCGGCGGGGATTCGGTGGTCGGTGGGCGGGGAGGGGTGGGGAGGGGGGGAGGGCCTGCCAGTCGCCGTGTGTTCGCCCAGACTGTCAACTGCATCATCAGGTGCCCTTCTGCTTTGGAGCTTTAGCCAGGAGGTGACTCAGCAGGTTTCCAGCCAGAAACTGCAGACCTTGCCAGTTCCAGAGCGAAGGGGTCCCGGGATCTCAACGTGGCGATTCCGTGTTCTTTGGGCTCTCAGATGAGCCCCGTTCCTGCACCACATGGTTCCAGGTTCCAAGGCTCCAGAACGTTCCAGGTCTCGCCAGACCTGAAGTTCACCGCGCGGAGTCCGTCATCTTCATGAGCATCTCCTTTCGTTTCAGGGTGGTGTCTACCTGCCATTCCCTGGTGGTTGGGATTTTAGGCCTGTACGTTTTCTTTTTCGACGAGGCGACCATCGCAGACCCATTTTGGTAAGCTGTTTCTTTCCAACGCAGTCAATGTGATTTATGCTTCGATGTTAATTATTAATCAGGACGTCTCTTACTGTGCTTTGAACAGCTCAGCACATCGGTGGTGTATGGTTTATTAACAATACTGTGTTCAGCCTTATTTCCACAAGGCGCATTAACATGACGTGTTTTAGATTTGAGCACAGTGAGTGCCACTGCGTCTCAGTGTCCCCACTGTCATCCAGACACAGGGGAGCGTGAAAAATGGGGACGTGTGTCCTGAGCTAGTGAGTAAAACCGAGCTGTCGTTACCCCTTGTCCTGAGCAATGGGGAGTTCCTATGGCGACCAGGCGGTCAACCTAGCACTGACGTGTGACGGGTCACTCGAGGGCGAGGGTGTGAAGACAAGGAGCAGAGGTGCTTGTGGGGGTGCAGTTCGGGCGCACGGAGGTGCCAGTGACAGCTGCGTTCAGCAAGGGTGTGGGAACCCGTAAGGTGGTTCTTCCAGGGGACGTGGAAATGTCAGTCCCGTGGCGGGAATCTCACACACGGCCTCTCCTGGCGTTTTGTGCGGGGACTCGGTCCGGCTTAGTCCGGGAGGGGAGGCTGTGCTGGAGAAAGTGCCGCAGAGCGTGTGGCGGCCGAGCCGGGTCTGGAGACGGCCGCTGTCGGCCTCTTCACAAGCGTGAGATCACGCCCGCCAGCGTTACGCCGCCACGATACGTTTTCATCGGGAAGACTTTTCAGAACTGAAAAATTTTTAGTGAAGTTCACTTTCTGGCCCAGTTTTTATGTGAGCCACCTAAACGACTTCTAGCTTCTTTTCATATTTTCTTTTTATACAAATATGACAGTCCACAGAACCAGCTCTTTTGGGAAGTGAATTCTATAGCAAAGATTTGATTCATTGATTGATTTTTGTCCTTATCGAACTTTTGCCTGTAGTAATTTTTCGGTTTCACATTTTCTTCGACGCCCTGGCCGACTCCAGGCCCAGCTCTCCCGGCTCAAATGGGCCGAGCATGTGGGCGAAGGAGACAGCGAGCCAGGAGCCTTTCCCGTTTGGGGCGCAGTGGCGGCAGCTTCGCTTGGGCTTCCCGTCGCAGTGCTCACTGCCAATCAGAGGGGGAGGGGCTGATGGTCCGTGTGTCTCTCGGACTGAGGAGTGTTAGCAGGGACAGGTGTAGGGCCTTGCTGTGTGGAGAGGCAGGAACAGCAGGGTCCGACAGCCCTGCTCCGACCAGGCTGGACGTGGGGCGCCAGGCAAGTCCCTCCAGTCCCCAGGTCGGTGATGACGAGGAGAGTAAAGTCCCTCATGTCAGGGACAGGCTAGATGATTTCTTGAGGTTATTTGAGCCTCTGGTTCAGAATAAGAAATTAAAAAAAGATCAGCCTCCAAATTCCGTTCAGATCCTTTCTGAAACAAATCACATGAAAACACAGTTATAAAAAGTTGTCTTTTGGTAAAATGATTTTCCTAAAACTTTCAGCTAATCAATATAAGAAATGATATTCCTGCGGTTAAAGGTTTTACCGTAGCTGACTCATTACTGTGTGCAAAGGACAATTTACTGTTTGAGAAACTATGGGAAACATTTTGGTTATATTTAAATCTCAATAGACAAAAGTAGCTGTCATCTATAACTCATGTGCTAAAAAAAGGAACTTTTTTCCCCCAAAATATTTATAGGGGCAATTCATCGCTTGCCAAGGTGAATATTGCTATCGCTTCGGGCTACCTCATTTCCGGTATGTGGTATGTTTCTCACTGTCCCTTTTAAAATGACTCGTGGAGTTACAGTCAAGGAATATGTAGTCTGTGCTTTTGGGTGACTGGCTCGAGAAGCTGTGGGGACCCAGGCGGAGGCAAGCTTGCTCTGAACAGGGCAGAACAGGGCGCGGTCCCCGGCGGCGTGGCCCTGGGGCAGAATCCGAGCGCGGTGTCCTCCACCCGGCTGGGACCTGTCTTGCTAGCGACGGCCCCTTCCTGGCCTGAGAGCCCCAGCCGCTCCGCAGTTTCGACTGTGGTGGCTCTCACTTGCAAAGGTCCCTGACGTGTGTCCCCACATTCCCACGTGTACTGTTTTGGGAAAATTTACAAACGTAAGCTATTTTAGCTGTGATCAGTTCAGGTTCCAGAATCTTTTATTCCACATCTCCCTGTGTGGTATTCCGCTCAGGTCGGGTGGGATTGGGGGAGCCTTTGATCCCAGAGACGGTGGTGGGCGGTGGGCGTGGTCGTGCCTCTGCTGCCCAAGTGGCTTTGTGAAGGTCAGGCCGGCTCATCAGCGAGAGAGAAGGCAGAGTCGTGGCGTGAGCATTGACTGGGGACCCTGTGTAACGAACAGTGGAAAGAAAATCCAGGTGGCAACGGCGGAGCAAGAGGCTTTCTGAGTCCACCGCTGAGTGATGGGCTCGGAAAGCCTGCTGCCCTTGGGAAGTGACTGAAGGTCAGATTATCCAGAGCGTGGGGGCCCCCGGGGAAGAGATGGACTTTGAAGAGAAGGAGGGAGGAGGCTCCGGGATGCGTTGGTGGCCCAGCCAAGAGAAGAGTGAGTTGTGTGAAGGCAGTGAAAAAAATCATGCTCTTTTGGCCCAAAACGCTGTTGTTGACCAAGACGACACAGAATCCACGCCTCATGCGCTGGCCGGTGAGTGCTGTCCATTCAGAAACTCCCCGGCACCGGGAAGTCTCGGTGCAGGGAACTCAGTGAAGGCTTCTCCAGGTTAGACAACTGCCCAGCGCACTCACCAGGGCGAAGGAGGAGTGAGCCCTCCGTGCTCTCTCTCCAAAGAGTGTTGCTGGTCACGGTCACCACACCGGTCACCGGAGTGAAGACGGCCACCCAGTGCAGGGCAGGCGCGCCCGGGCGGGGTCGGTGGCCCTCCGGGCCCGCAGCACCTAATTTTCCCCATTTCCTCACTTGCGGCATTTACTCTCTCATTTAAAATTGGTCACCCCGTGATTTTTTTCTCTCGCTAAATAATCACATCAGTAATTTTTTTTATGTTTCGTAAAAGAAGCCCCGTGTTTTCTCAGCTCCGACCCCACAAGGCCTGGGTCCTCTGGTCACCACTTGGCCCCACATCTCAATGCCACATCTCGCTGCCACTGGGCAGTGAGAGTCCCGGGGTCAGAGTGTTCAGCAGTTTCCGTTCTGTTCAAGGAAAGGCTGTTCGGAGCCGTGGTGTTTAGATTCAGGACCTTTTTAAAAGAAATGTGATGCCTTGGCCTCTCCCGTTGTTTGTCGTTTTAACAGTCACTCCTGGTGGCCCTTTGCTATTTGGAATTAATATTTGATCACGTCCGTGTTAATTTTTAAACACGTTTTGTTGAATTTGTGTTATAAGTGAGTTGGTCATTTTTTACCTTTGCTGTGACCATCTCATCTGTTTGAATTATTGCAAGGCTGGAAATCAGTACTGTAACCTTATTTCAAAATTACTTTTTGCTCAGCAGTAGTATTTTCACTTTATTTAGACCCAGGAACACGTTATTCCCTGTGCTTTCAACAGGGTGTGGCCCCTGCTCAGTGCCCACAGGGTCCTCGTGCTGGAGCAGGCCCTGCGTGTGGAGCGGGGGACGCGGTCATCGGGAAGCAGCACTTGGGGTGGACCAGCGGGTCCCCCGGCCCGGAGCGAGGGATGCAGCCCCGTGGGCCCCGGGCGGCCTGGGGCAGCTGCCAGCGGGTCGAACGCACTCGGAAGCGGTGCAGCCTTCTTCCTGCGTGATGTCCCACCGAGTTTTCCTCCCCACAGATTTGCTGGCCCTCCTTCTGTACTGGAAAGTGATCGGCGACAAGTACTTCGTGATTCACCACTGCACGGCCCTGTACGCCTTCTTCGTCATCCTGGTGCGTGCTGGGCCGGCCCACGCAGCCTCCCTCCCAGCAGGGGAGGGGGTGGGGGCGCAGGGTGGACGTACGTGCCAACACACGGGTCTTAGCTGCCTGGGACCAAGCCCAGACGCAGTCGGGGTTCCCCACCTGACGGGCTCTCTCGTCCACTAACAAAAACAAGGGCTTCACTTGGGTGTCCGTGTTGGGGTGTTCACTTGCATTCATGGACTTTGGAAAGGCAGATGGCCCCAATTTTTAAAATTTTCACCTAAAACCTGTAGGATCATCTAGCTATTGAAATTTGCCTGTCCTCCTGGATGCGTTTATGATTAATCTACCCCTCGCCCTGGAGAGAAGGGATATTACTCTGGGCAAAGCTCCTTAAAGGCGGGCGGCAGACACAGAAACCCCACACCCACATTGACCAGAAGGGGGCTGTGACCTGCGCCGTAATTTGCTGACAGTAAAGTATCAAGGGCTGCAGTTTATTGATCTGAAGGTGTTAGCGCAGTTTAAACCTAGCCCTTCGACAGCACCTCCCTCCCTGGAGTTTCAGAGGGTTTTCTTGAGTCGGAGAGAGGGGATCAGGTGAGGAGGAGCCTGGTGGTGCCTGTCGGGTGGCACACGGGGGCTTTGCCCCCAGGGGGTGGGCTGAGGGGTCCGGGAGCGACAGGACTCGCAGGGGACTACTGTAAAGGCCCCGCAGCAGGGCCGCGCCCGGGGCGAGTCGGTGACTCCGCAGCAACGCAGGGCAAAAGAGACGCTGCACTAGCGCCCGTTGCGATTTTGGCCTGGATACGGATGGTCTGTAACACAAAGTTCTGAGTCTGCAGAAAGCCAGGGCTTGGGAAGTAAAGCGTTTTCTGGGTCCGATTCCCCAGAGACAGCTAGGACCACGCTCGTGTGTTCTTGTCCCTCACGCGCTGTTCCCAGTGGCTGTTTAGCAGAATCTCCGCGTTCAGCGTGAGGCAGCTGCCGGGGAGCTGTTTCTGTGAGTGCACGGTGTGTGCATGCATGAGCACGAGTGTGCAACACGCTCCTGTCTCTGGAAAACACGGTAGCACTCCAGTGGCGTTGCTAAGTTCTCGTCAAGAAGAGGCTCAGTGCCGCAGACTGGGCCCACCCTGGTGTGGGTGGTCCCTCGGTGCTGGAGAACCCGGACCGTGTTCCTGGCCTCGGGAAGCTGGCCCGGGACGCGGCCCTGACGGTGCCTTTCCTGTCCTCGCCCAGAGAGAAGGCCCCCTGCAGTACATCGGGAACTTCCGCCTGCTGGCCGAGCTCTCCAGCCCCTTCGTGAACCAGCGGTAGGTCGCGGGCCGGCCCCCTCACGCAAGCTCCCACCGTTTGTTCTCCCAGGGCTCCTGTGCGAGACCAAGCACCTGTATGGACGTCGCTGTCCCCGGCTGTGGTGCTGCAGCCCTGGGCGGGCGTGGGTCCCCTGCCCTCTCTGGACTCGGGCCTGTCCTTTCGGCCCTTCCGCCCAGGTTCCTTGGGGTGTTCGCTGGAATTGTTCCGTGAGCACCACCCACGGCTTTCAGGGGTCAAGTGCAGAGACGTCCATCCAGGGCCTAATTGCCTCTCTGCGGCTGCTGTGGCGGGTCACCCGGATGTCCTCCCGCCTGCTCCCTTGTGTCCTGACGCCGCATGCCCCGGGGCCGGTCTGTCCCGCAGCCCCATCTGTCTGCTTTGCCAGAGGCAGCCCCTCGAAGGCCGGTGGCCCCAGGGTCCCCGGGCCCTGCTCCGGGCTTCTCCCTGGGCGAGCGCTCCTGTTAGAGTTTCAGCTCCTACCTGGTTGCTCACTTCAGAGTCCTGGGCTTCGCGGGAATTTTAGAATCAGAGCAGCAGGCACTTCCTCACTCTGGCCTTGGAGGGGCTGAGTTGCTTCCCGCAAGAAAAGGGGTGTGGGGGGCTCCCGTTGTCTGCTCCTCAGCGATCTGGCCCAGCGCCCCTCCTCCCAGGCGGCCCCACAGGCTCGGCCCCTCTGGGACGGAGGGCACCCCCCTCCCCGCGTGTCTTCCGCGACTCTCCTGCTCTCCGGCTCTCCCCGCACGGGCACCCCGGGGGCTCTGCCTCCGTCCGCCCCTGCGTGTGGCACATCGGCAGGGGCCACCGTCGCACCCCCGAGGTGGCCCTCGTCCGCCCCACCCGCTCTCCGTCTGTGCCACGCAGCCCGTTGTTACTGTTGTGGGAAGTCCTCCTGGGGGGGGGGGGCGGCATCCAGCAAACCAGGCTCACGGGCCAGCCCCCGGCTGTTTTTATAAAGGAGTCTCGGTGTTCACCACAGCGATTCCCACACCACAGGGCGGGCCCCACTCGCCGTGACGGGCAGTGTGGAGTGGCCACCGCCTGCCTCTGGGTGTCCCTGCCCCCGCCTCCAGTCCTGTCCCCGTCATCTCGCTTCCCGGTCACCTTCCACCTTCCACGGTGGGCGCCCTGCACACGGACAGGAGCGAGTGTGGCTGCCTGCGTGGACCTGCCCGTGGCCCCGCCACGGCCCCCGACCCACAGGGTCACCGCGGGCCCTCGCCCGCCGGTGGTGCAGGGGGCCCTCCGAGCGTCAGTCCCGCCCCTTCTCGGCCCTGCCTGACATGGGCCGGAAGGGCCCCGCTCCTCGCCGTTCTTCCGGAGCCCACCCAGGGTCGGTGCCCTCTCCCCGCAGGGCCGGCTGCCGCCCGCAGTCGCACCGCGGTGACGACGGGCGTCCTTGCAGCGTCCGGGCCCCCCTTTCCCTCCCTGTTCCTGCATCTCAGCACGTGAGGCTGTGGGGGCGGCGGGAGGCGCCTTCTCCCAGCCCGAGGCCCGGACCCCCGAGTCCCCGGAGCACGTTTGTCAGACACAAGTGCTTCCAGGCCGGGAGCGCCGCACTCGCCGCCAGGCCGTGCGCAGGTCAGCCGCGGCCCGGGCGCCGTGGGGAGTCCCAGCAGCACTGCAGTGTCCGGCTCCGCCTGGAGCTGGTCCAGGGTCGTCCACAAAGGTCCAGTGTGTTTTCCCAGCGCCACTTGTTAACATTCTCTTCGTTCCTCTGGTGCTCACAGTCCCTGCAGCCTGGCAGGCCCGTGTCCGCCCCTCCGCTCCCACCAGCGGGGCCGTGCGGGGGGAGCCTCTCCCTCCCGTTCTCTGCCCTCACGTTCCCCTCTTTCTGCACCTGCCCGTCTGCCCTGACCCCTTCCAATGTGCATCAGGGCAGACGCTGCCCACAAGCCAGACGGGGGGGTACAAACACCCTCGGGACGTTTCTCAGTTTGTAAACGGGGTTGTGAGGACCACACCACAGGGGCCTCCCAGGGAAGTTCATCCAAAGCTTCAGTCCCTTCGGGAGGGCGGGGGGGGGGGGGGGGGGGGGGGGGGGGGAGGCACAAGCAGACCCCAGGCACAGCTCCCTCTGTGGGCCAGAGGGACTCGGCAGGCAGGGGCTCAGTCCTTTCCTACCTGGCTCTCCAGGATGTGGGGTGGGGGACACAAGCGCTCCCCCACCCCCCGGACCAGTGCTGTGAAGAACCTCACGGGGTGAGCCCCACCTTGCTGGCATGAGAGCCATCCAGTTTGGGGGGAAGGAGTGGGTCCCGACAAAGTCGGTGGCCTTCCTGACGTGGGAGAGGAAGACAAGGCCAAGTGTATGAACATGATTTCCCCTGGACTTAACCGGAGGCGGCAGGACTTGGCCGGGGTGACGTAGTCTGGTGGGACCCCCTGGGGAGGCAGGTCGGGAGGCAGGCGGTGTCCTAGGGCTGCAGTTGTCGGGGGAGGAGTCAGACACGAGTGGCACACGAGTTTGTGTCGGAATCAGTGGTGACTTGGGTGGAGAGACCTGGAGGGGCGGGCGGAGCCAAGGAGAGGCCTGGAAAGCAGAGCTCTGGGGGAGGATGGAGTGGCCCGTGGCCCCGGGGCCCCGAGAAGCACGGGTCTGTGAGGGACAGCCCAGGAAGCAGCGACAGAGGACGGAGGGGAGTCTGGGGGTGGCGGTCACCTGCCTTAGAAAAGGCCACCAGGGTGGAGGCTGGGGTGGACCCACTGTGCTGGTCCCAGCGGTTTCTCTGGGACGTGGCCCACTGCCTGGGGTTGGAAGGACCGCAGGGGTGCCTGCCAGCAGCGGGGAGACCGGAGGACGGAGCACTCGGGGAAGGGGGGAGAGTCGCCTGTGGTTGGGGAACTGGGTGGAGCGGGGGCAGGGGGCTGGGCAGCGGCAGGCGGAGCCCCAGGAGGGGAAGGGGCCGGCGGAGGAGGCGCTGGGGGCTGTGGGCCCCGGGCACGAGGACTTTGCGGTCACTCACTGGGCTGCTGACGTCGGCACAGGTTTTGGCCTTTGGGAGCCACCTGCGTTGGTGGCTGTGTACCTGTGACGCAGCGGCGTCCTGCTGTTTCCCAGCACCTTCTTGCTTTCTGGCACTAAGGCCCTGGGTTCGTGGGGTCAGCCGCTGGTCAAGGAGCCCGGGTTCCTGTGCCGGGACTGGCCCCGGGGGTCCCGCTGCGCCCTCCCAGTGCCAGCGGGGTGCTTGCCGCTGCACACACACCCACAACTGCTTGGCCTCTTCGTCCGAATCTTAGGGGGACGCTCCCTGAATTTTAAAGACTAAAAACCAAACTGAAAAGGCGAGTCCTCAGAAATGCAGAGTTCACGTGATTCTTCTCGCCCTTTTCCAGGTGGTTCCTGGAGACCCTGAAGTACCCCAAGTTCTCCAGGGCCAACGTGGCCAACGGCGTGCTCATGACGGCCGTCTTCTTCCTCGTGCGCATCGCCGCCATCCCCCCCATGTACCACCTCATGTGGTCGGCGGTCGGCACCGAGTCCTACGCGCGGCTCGGGCCGGTCATCCTGGGCACCTGGGCGGTCACCTGCTTGGTGCTGGACGTGATGAACGTCATGTGGATGGTCAAAATTTCCAGGGGCTGCCTCAAGGTGCTCTCGCTGCTCAGGGAGGAGAAAGCCGGCGGCAGCCTGCAGAACGGGAAGCTGGACTGAGCGTCCGCCTGCCCACCCGCACCCGCCCAGCAGGTACCGCCTCCAGCCGCCGTCGGCGTCTGTCCCTCTCGAGTGTCACCCAGGGCCTCCGGTCCTCTTCCGCCACCTCTTACCTGCAGAAAAGGGGAACTAAAACTCTGACGTCAGTCCCAAGGTCTGTCTTCTGATTTCCTCCTGCATTATAAGTATGGGCAAAGTCTTACAGGTTTAAATAAAAGGGTGTAAACCAGCCCGTCGGCTGGCGTCCGCGTCTCTCTCCGGAGGGGCTCAGCCCGAGCTGCGGGGACAGTGGCCCTGCCCTGCAGGCGCAGCCCGGCCTCAGCGCCACGCCACGCCACGCTCCTGGCCTACGAGGGCCGCGCAGGGCTTAATTTCTGGATTGCCGGAACGTTCTTTTGCTGAGGCCGTTACAGGGACGCGTTTTCATTTAGGCCATCGTCTCCTAACGATGAAGCCTTTTCCTTACTCGGGCATATTTAATTCGTTCAGTTATGGAAAACACTTCCTGCATTTTGGGGTTCTCAGACACCACTTTATTATTCCCGTGTTTAGAATTCTATTGAGTTATTGCCTTTTTATTCTGCAGGGCGGTGTGAGACAGGTCTCGTTGCGCTCCCGAGCACAGGCCGTCCTCCTCAGGAGGGTGCGTGCTGCGGGGGGCTCCTGGGGCCTGGGGGGCAGTCGCTGAGCCTTACCACTGCCTCTCGGCTTCCCTGGCAGTTTTTCTATGAAAAATATATTCTTTCTGTTCATGAAACGTGCCCTGAGTTCAGAACCCGGCACCCGCAGTACCAAAGTCTTAGGTACCGTGTGTTTATCCTACTCCTGAGGTGGGCCTTGATTTGACGAGATCAACACGACACAAAAAAAATCAGTCATTCATATTTTAGTCTGAGTTTACCCTCGAGTTTAGTTAGCACTCTGAAATGTCTGTTTATCCCGAAGGACAGGAAAAGCACGATCATTTCACCCAGGTATTCTGATCACCCGGACTGTTGTCTTCTGTGACAATCGGTGGCTGGGGACTGGTTTCTGGTTTGCCTGTGTCTGTTCCCTCTTTGGTTCTGCCAACCCCGACGTAGGATCACGGCTTTCAGGTTTGCCTCAAGGACTTGACCTTAATGATGGTCCTTAACGAAGAAAAACAAATGTAGTTTAACCGGTGGGGAGCGCTTGGATGTAACTGAACTCAAAACAGAAGATCCCGTTCCTTCCTCATTTCACCTGGATTTCACGGTTCAAGTCGGGAAGGTGAAGGGAGGCTGGCTGGATATTTCAAGACTTTTGATTCCATTCGATTTGGTTTGATTGGGCTGCCCAATGCAAACAGAGCCCGCTGACGTTTGAGAACTTCTAACGAAGGCAACTGGGACCTTAGCCAGTGACCCAGTGATAAAACGGGAGTGATTGGCGTCTCCTGGGCGCACCTGTTTTTGAAAAGCTTAATTAAAGTAAAAACACAGGTCCATGTTTTTAAAGCGACCGACACGACACTACTCCTTTGCTCCCGGGCTGGCTGCCCCCCCCCCCCCCCCCCAGCCAGCACTGACCGGTGAGCGTGGGCGGGCGCTTCGAGGGAGGGCAAAAGTGGCGGCTTTACCTCCTTGTCCTGCTCTTTGGCAAGAGAACTGGCTTTTAAAAAGGGAGACGTTTATGTTAGAAAACTGGTTTGGAAGTGAGTTCCTTTAGAAAAGAAGACAACTCAACAGAAGCGTCTTTGGCTCCGAGTGTTTCCGTGGTCCCTGAACACGGGTGTCCTCCCAGGAGGTGGAGCCGCTTTCCACGGGCCGGCGGTTTCACGCTGAAAACTTCCTTTTTACCCCCATGGCAGCCCCTCTGATTCGGACGGCCGCTCACGAACCAAATGTTATGATACAAATGTTATGATACAAATGTTTTGCACGAATGTTTCTCATGCTCTTAGGCAGCCATTGTTATTTCAGCCGGCTGTGCAATAGCCAGCCCAGCAGCCAGATTCCAGGTCCGAGGTGACTCTTCGAATTTCTCTGGCCACAGCCCCGCGGCGGGAGAGGCGCCATCATGCTGCTGTGCTGCTCCCGTGGGAGCTGGGCCGGAGCCGCGTGGACGTCCGCTCCTGCTGCCCACAGCCCACGCGGTCACAGCCGGGACACTTCCTTCGCCAAACAAGGAGTTCTTCACATGTTACTTTGACAAACTTTTTGCTAGAATATTGCATATGAAGTATTTTGACTATGTGGGTTAATTTCAATGATTCTACTTGGCATTCTGATTTTAAGGACTTCTGTTCAAATATTTATAGAAAATAAAAGCAAGTTGATATAAATTTTTAAGCAACTCTATTTTTGGAGAAAAAGATTAGTCACAACCTATAACTATGAAGATGCTCTTTGAATGTGTCATTGTCTAGAAAATAAAAATTCTCACAAAATGTTGAAAACGAATGCACATCAACTGAACAGCATGCAACACCGTACATTCTGCATTAGGTAGCTTATTGTATTTGGGAGAATTTAAAAATTACGAGCCCCAGTTTCTAGAGTTTGCACTCCTGCATCTAACAACTTTTTAAATGATAAATGTTTGCATCCACCGGGGACTCGGAGTGGAGTTCGATCTGCCCAGACGGTGTCTCCAAACCTCACAGGAGGCGCATTGCAGTCCCTCCTCCTCCGGTTTGACCTCGTTTCCCAGGGACGGGCCCTGCGTTGTGCACGGTCCCCAGAGACCGGGTGGTCCCTGGCGTGACGAGACGGCTTGGGTGTTGGTCACACCACTGGTTATCATGTCTTCTCACGGAGAAACACGGGGAAACGTGTTGTGACATTTGTGTTTGCTGTTTCCTTCCCAAGGGACACAAACACGCCCCAAAAGCCAGGATGACAATAAATGTGTGCCCGAGTTTCAGGGTCTGGGTCCCTCCGAGCTCCAGACAGCTGAGTGTCCCTACGTGTCGATGGGGAGCGGTCTGCGTGCTGGGAGTCACAGGAAAGGCCGTGTGGCTGCTGACGTCCTCGGTCACGCTTCATGGAAAGCTGTGCATTGAGGTGTCTTGGACCCGAAGAGGCCCTTGAGTGGCCTGTCGGGATTGTGGCAGGATGCGTCTGCACGGGGACAGCCAGCAGCTCGGGACACCCTCCTGTGTCGGAGGCTGTGGCCCAGACCTTGCCAGCTTTAACCACACCGGGCCCATGACAGCTGCCACAAGTGAGTCCCAGCAGGAAACCTGACGTGGGAGACAAAGCAGCTGGGCCCCCCCAGGACCGAGAGCCCCGGTGCCCCTCCCACCATCTAGGGGTCACTTCCCCAAGCCCTCCTGTCCCCCCACCACGGCATCAGCGCCTCCCTGCCTGCCAGCCGCTGACACCTTTCTGTGTCCACATTTGAGGCCTCCGCTTACCCGTACGCTTCCTGGTGGCCTGTCCTTTCATTGAACAACAAAAAAAAAAATTGCAGGAAGTTTAAGCAGCGATCAGACAACCCCTAATTTATTAAGAGGCTACAGGAAGCCAGGGAGCATTTCACGATGCTTGTTCCCAGCAGCAAGCAAAACTAATAAATGCTCCGGTTTTATGGAGACACCACGGTGGCTTCTCTTTCTTCTCAAACCGGTTTGGCCACACGAGCGTCACAACGCGCCTCAGCTGGGGAACCTCCACAGGTGTGTCATTACCGGGGCGGCCCTGCTGGGACCCCAGGATGCAGGGTGCCTGTCCTGAGGGCGCCAGGAGGCCGGGCTGGTGGGCGGCAGCATCGGAGGGCCCTGCTCTTCATCCAACCTACTTACGGGCACACTTCTCCTAAAAATAAGTTTGCCGGCAAATTCGGGGTTTCCGAGGTGCAGCGTGCAGGGGTTTGAGCCCGGGCCCCTTCCGGCCCGTATGTCAGGGTTCTGAGGGTATTTCGGACTGTGGTGAGGAAGGGTGGGCGCGGCTGGGCTGGGTGGAAAACATTCACACCGATATCCTCGGAGATGCATATACTCCTGACATCGGGCCCGCTGCTTAAGACCAAAACCCACGAGGACTATTTATTAATCTCGGAGATGCAAACGCAATACCTCTGGCTGAAAACTCATCCTTGTTACCTGCGCATTAATTTTTTATGTCTTTACGTAAATTCTGTAATTAAGTGTGCACTAAGGCATCGGCTAAGTCTTGGTTAATGGAGCCTAAAAATATCACCAAATAATATTTTCATTTCTTGCTCGGTTGGCTTCTAGTCTGATATGTCTACTTTTCAACTAACGGAGTTTTTGCACAGATAAAGACTCTTCCTAACTTGGTCCTAGAATCGGTTATGAGATTTTGGATTCGTTGTTAGGATTTGTGATCATTTTAGACGTAGATTTCATCTGAAACAGTCACTTGGAAACTGGTAAATGCAGCAGCTGGAGCGGTCGGTGCACTTTTCCTCCTGGGACTGTGTTACTTTGATATGCAATCCTTAGAAAGACGTTGGAAGTCTTTCAAAATAAATTTAATAGTTTTGAGACCACGCCTTCTCATTTATTTCCAGAAGGCTAAAGAATTTTTGCTCCCTTTATAAAAATGTGAGCCTTGGTAACTTAGAAATTACTGTTACTCAGACTTATTGGCAGTTGAAACAATAACTTGGTATTTACTTTGGTTTCTGGTTGCGTTTTATGTGGCAGGATGAATAAGATCTTTAGGTAATTCCCGTGGCACTCTGAAATGTTTGTGTTTGTTGGTGCGTGTGCCATCTCAAAGCACATGCAAGTTCAAAGCGATACTCTGCATGTTCTACAAGGTCGGCATCACTTTGTCATGGCAGTCGAAGTTACTGTTCACACTGAGGACGTGTATAAACTCAGTGTCCCATGTATAAATTGCCCTTCTGCCCGGCCACACTGATACAGTGCAAAGCTTTGTATTTTGTGAAAAAAATAAAATCACAATTATTTAATGCAAAAGTTTGTCCGCCGGGTGCACATTTTTAATAGTAATTAGTGATAGATGGATGATAAAAGTTGCTTTCCTGAGATCCAGTGATCTGTCGCGGCACCCCAGTCCTGAAGTTCACCAGGCGTAGGGCCTGTTTGGCTGTGACCTCCCGCCACCCCCCTCCCCCCCCACCTTGGGCCACAGGCCGGCGGCGCCCACGTGTGGAAGGGACAATGCTGTCTGATGGAGCGGCCCTCGGAGCTCCAGGTAAACCCTGACACCTGCGTTTGCACCTCCTCCCATCTGTGCCCGGGGCTCCGGTGGCCTCTGCTGGTTTCTACCCAGCGTCTCTGCCCTGCTCCTGCCCTCGGGTTGCTGCGGTCTGGGTCCAGGCGCTGGCGTCTGAACCCACCTCGGTGGGAAGCTGCGCAGCTACCCAGCGGCCTGGAGTGCGTCGCCCTCGGCGGAGTCAGGGCTGCAGGCCATGTTTGGGACCAGGCCGAGGGCTGAGAGAGCCCCGCGGAGGAATGGGGCGGACTCGGCAATGAAACACCAGGCCCCACCCGCTGTCAGGCTCCAGGGTGCGGGGGACGTGGTGAGAGGCCTCTGTCCCCTGGCGGTGTCCCGGCGCCCCACCCTTTCTGGGAGCCAGGCAGGTGCACACTATCAGGGACTCGGCACACTGGCATCGCCAGCCCGTCTGGTCCAGAGACTGGTGAGCGGTCCGCGTTCAGGGCGCACAGGCCTCTGTCCTTCCAAGCACCTCTATGGCCACATTGTCCTGCCCAGGCCATCTGGTCGTGTGACCGCGTCAGCGTGAGACTCCGCGCGCAGAGCTGGCGCAGTGGGGCTGTGGCCGGGCGAGCAGCGGGCTGTGGGCTGTGTTCTCTCACGAATACAATGCTGGGGGAGATGGGAGTTTGGAAAGAATGACACAGAACAGCAAGGACCAGGGACTTGTGGGGACAGGAACAGTAAGGTAAGAGCACGCTGTGTTGTGTGACTTCGCATTTTGGGTGATGCGTATGGACTGCAATTCCTATACCCGGTACACGAATGCTCGTCTTTTCTGTATTAAAATTCAACATGCGCCTCTTTCAGTGGGTGCCTCTGTGCATCTGCATCCGCCTGTGGCTGAGGTGCATGTGTGCAGGCTGTGCGTGTTTCGCCCGCTGCCCACACCAGGACCGAGGCAGGACGGTGTGGCCTCCGGGTTGGAACCAGGTCCAGCTGGGCCGCCAGGGCTGAGGAACAGCAGCTCAACCTGCGCCACTGACCCCAAACCTGGCCCTGCCGACCAGGACGCTTCCAGGGCCCATGCGCTCTGTACGGCAGGATCGCCACAACGGCGTTGGATGGAGTGAGCGTTTTCAGGGGTTGTCGGGTGACGTGGGCAGGGAGGACGAGTGGGTGGATGCTGCAGGGGCAGGCGGGCCCAGCGGCATGCATCGGGAAGAGCCAGGCTCCGGGGAGCCCGTGATGACCGCGAGGAAGCATCTCGGTCCTGCACCTCTGACTTCTTTGTAACGAGATGATGTGTGAATGTCTCCGAGGTTCCGACTCGCCCACCCCGCTTGCAAGAGCGTGGATTTGAAATGAGAGCAGGCCAGCAGGGAGGGTGAGGGGCGCTTGCGGCTTTGCCCCTGGTTGGAATGACCTCCACAGCAGTGTCTCAGCGTTTGGGGACCACGAGGACAGCACAGGCCTGGACGGACATGGGGGCCAGCCCAGGTTCCCGTTCTGGCTGTGCCTGGGGACAGTGACCCACCCAGGCCAGCTCTGTCCCTTTGCCGGCCCTTTTCCAGCCAAGAAGTGGGTGAGTGGGAGGCCCCTGTCCTAGGTCAAGTCCTAGCGTTCTGTGATCATGGTAATTCGAATCCAGGTTGGGAGACAGCCCTGAATTCCTGCCAGACAGAATTCTGGAGCCTGGGTGTTCTGCCCTGGCCGGTGGGGCAGTTGATTAGAGCGTCGTCTGGATGCACCAAGGTCAAGGGCTCCATCCCTGGTCTGGGCACATGCAGGAATCAACCAGTGAGTAAGCCGAGCGACAAATCAGTGTTTTTCTATCTCCGCCCCCTTCCACTCTCTTCCTTCCTCTGTCTCTACAGTCAACACATGGAACATTAGTTTCAACTGTGTGCTTTTGGAGGTGGCTGGAGGTGCAGGACTTTGAGTGTGACTCTGTGCCCTTGGATAAGGCCCCTTGTTTCTGTCTTCATCTGTCTGCCCAGCAAGAGGAGATGGTATCTCCTGCAGACCGAGAGCCTCGCCAAAGAGGCTGACTGCATCAACATTATTAGAGGAGAGAGATAAGTTTTAATGAGGTACTTTTCAGGAGCCGACCAGCAGCCGTCCCTTGACACGGTCGGGACGGAGGAGATGCATCTGCACAGCAGAGGCAACTGTGGCTGGATTTCCTGTCTGTCTCTCCCTGCATGTCTGTCTTTGCGATTAATAGGTGGTGGGATTTTTGGACACCTGTATTTCAGGCCCCGTGATCCACAGAATTCCAACGAGGTTGTACAAAGTGATTTCTTGGCCATAGAACAAAAGTCCCCCCTGGTGAAGTAGCCCCTGAACTTCTAAAAGTTGATGGAGTAACAGCCCCTCCTCTACCTGGGACAGGAATATGTATTAATTAGAATTAGACAGACAAAGAAACAGGAGAAGCTGGTTAGCTACTACAGACTAAGTACGTAGAAACAATTATCAAGGAGTCAGCGTCTATATTACATAAAGAAACATTTTAGACACAGAGTTAAGTTAGACATCACAAAGGCCTTATAATAAATTTCCTGTAACCTCTGCTCAGCCTAGCATATCCTCTTGCCCCATGTCAAATTCTAAGATCTTTAATAAACAATAAGACATTTAAACTCTGTACATACAGCTGTTTCAAATTGTCTGATAATTGACTCTCCTGGTCAAAACAACTGTTGTTTAACATAACTGGGTCTATGGAAATTTTTGTACTTTTCCTAGTCACCTCTGTATTGTTTTTTTCTGCTTATCTGATCATGTCATGCACCTGTTCCTTTAATGTTATGTAACAATCTCTATTAACATAAAGCCTAAATCAAACTCTGAGAGTTCGGTCAGACCCACAGAGGCTGGCTATTCTCCGGCATCCAATCGGGTGTCTGACTCTTTCGTCACCTGCGCCGTCCACCCTTCGGGGACCCTGAGACCTGCCGAGGCTGGACCCCGGCAGGTACTTTCCCACCATATACGAGGCCAAGTGGATTTTTGAAATACTCCTCCAAGTGTTAATCTTTAGAAGATGTAAACATCCAAATATGGAACCCTTTTCCTCTTTCTTTCTTTCTTTCTTTCTTTCTTTCTTTCTTTCTTTCTTTCTTTCTTTCTTTCTTTCTTCCTTCCTTCCTTCCTTCCTTCCTTCCTTCCTTCCTTCCTTCTTTCCTTCTTTCTCTCTTTCTTTCTTTTCTTTCTTTCTTTCTTTCTCTCTCTCTCTCTCTCTCTCTCTTTCTTCCCTCCCTCCCTCTCCCTCTCTCTCTGATTCTGAGAGCACGTTTATTAAAGCCAGGCACAGTGAAACAGGGTTAGGACTGAAGAAGCCCCAGGAGAGCCCCTAGGTGGGCCTGCTTCGGTTCCTTAGAAATGCTATAGGAAGGGAGTGAGCCTAACATAGATTCTTAAAATTAAAAGATTTTTAAGTGTTAATTTCATTTTTTGCCATAGCAACAGAGCTATAAAGTCATGATGAATGTTCTAACCTGCCTTTCCCCCAACTCTCCTTAGGAGACACAGCGAGATGGACTGGGAGTGAGAGGCAGGCCCGGGTCTTCATGGTTCCGCCCAGCAGGATCAACTCATGTGGCCACCACGCCAGTCAGGAGAAAGAGTGTTTCTCTGGGACCAAATCCCCAGGCCCCCCCCCCCGAAACTGCCCCTGTCCTCCTCAACACAGTCTGGTCTTTTAGTTTAAGTCACAAGTCCCCAACCCACTGAAGTATCAGAAAAATGAGAGAAAAAGGAAAGAAACACTTCTTAAGTGATCACGGATCACACAGTCATACGGAAACATCTAAGTGTCATAATTTCTTCATTTTAATTGCCGTGGCTACATTGATATATATCACTACTCTTCTTTCAGGTGACTTTGTCATTTTTTAAATCATTCATATTGACCTGAATAGTAAATACAACATAATACCCTGGTCACACATTCTGGCAGAAACATGATATATTTCTCACCAGGCCAGGTCAGGCCCCGAGTGGGGTCCCATTTCAGCTCAGGACGTAAGCGCTGTGGGGACCGAGCCCCACGTGGCTGTGTGACCTCCATACCCCTCACTGGACAGACTGCGTGTGTCGGCTGTCGCAATTCAGAATCCTGTTTTCTTTGTGCGTAACAGAGTGTCGAGTGCAGTGGCAACAGTGGGCAACTATTGTTCCAACGTAACAGGTTCCCGTAAAGGTGCCGATGGTATATACTATGTATTACATGGTTGTTACATTATTCAGCACACATTTGTGTATTACACCACTTGGGCACTCCCGGTGAAGGTGAAGAAAGGGTGGGAGTGATCCAATGTTCCCTTTGTTCATTCACCTCTGTCTTTATCAGCCTGCATGTGCTTCAGGTGATGGTCTGGTTGCTCCATCCTGATGGGCACCAACATGGTCACAAAACCGGCGGGAACCGGGGGAAAGGGAACACATGCTGCTGGAACCGGGCCCTCCTGCAGTCTGCGTTTTCACCTGCGCAGACCAAAGACCGGGATCTCTGAGGCGCAGGGTGTGCGGCACCCATCTCTGGGTCTCCCACTCAGCCCCCAGAGCCACGCCAAGGTCAGCACACCAAGGTCAACACAGGAACCCTTCAGACAAGACCCACGGCTTGCTTCTTGGAGTTCAGGTTCATTGAGCAAGTTGGCCTTTGGTGCCTCTTCTGTTCCCTGCCCTTAGAGGTGCTCAAAGGCGTTTTTACTTTTCTTGTGGTCTTTATATGATAATTGTCCCTACCACACCCACTCAGCTCAGTAAACCCTGGGCTTCTGGGCTTTTCCTGGCAGGCCGCACTCCGCCCTACTAACACTCTTACAGCTGTGTGTTCTTGATGCTTCGCTCCTGGGGGAGGGGGGTCGGGCCTCAAATTTCAGAACAGAGTTGAGAGTTTGATTCTACATCCTACCCTGGATAAAACGAGTAGAAGTGTTAAAAAAGCTGTCTTCTGAGCTGAGTGGTTGTGACCTCGGGTGAGAGATTTAAAGACGTCTCCTCCTTAGGGCCTTGGGGGAACAACCGTTTGTGAAAGCTGTGCGCATCCATAATATTGTTCCAGCAAACCACACACCTGCCGGTGGGGAGTGGTGCGGACGGGGTGGGGAGGGAGACAGAGCGAGCGTGTTCCGTGTTCCGTGTAGAATTCACCCACAAGTCTAGACATTCATTCTACATTTGAACACTTAGGGTTTCTGGTCACCCATGGATACAAGAAAGTACGTTATAGGAAGGCGTTTGACACGTGGCTGCTGCCTTCACGGGGAGAAACGTCAGGCTGACTCTGTGCTGGCTCTGCGGCGGCCACGCCTCCACACGCCAGGGCGCGGAGCTTCCGTCCGGGGACTCGGGGCCCTGGGCTCGTGCCGACTGAGAAGACATCGGGCGTCGACGTCTTTTTCTTGAAGGCGCTGCACGGAGTATGAGAAGCAGAATCCTCGGACGAGGGAGCCGGGGAAGCAGCCTACTGACGGGAAAACCCTGAAAGAGGTGGGTGCATTGTACCCATTTCCCGGACACCTCGCTGGCAGCCGTGCTGTTTCTCGCCTATCACGTCTCCTGAACTTGGGAAATTAAAACTAAGGTGTGAACAACCTAACTTTTTACAGACTATATTTTATAAATGAGTCAAGTTACTAAATTCGTATCTCCCTACCACTTTAAACACTAACATCGGGCTTCAAACTCAAGCGAAATGACCTGGTGCTATTTTAAATAGAAAATGTCTCCTCGTGTTCACCAGGCTCTTCAGCAGCTAATTAGGAACCTCTTGGCTGCTGATTCGGAAATGACTCAAAGGAGTTTGAAGGAAACTTGCTGTTAAACAAACCGGCCACAGCAGAGATGACTGAGTTGGAACAGAGCTTTGTCATCCCAGTTGCGAGCACAGGGGTGCTCTCATTAACTCGGGGTCCCTGAACTCCCTCGGGTCCTCCGAGGGCACGTATCCTGCAGCCTAGCTGGCCCAGCGCCCGCCTGTTCTGGGAAGCTGATGTTATCTCGTGTGTAAGCTCCCTCTTTCGCCACAAGGGGAACTGACTCAGCCTCACCACGTGCCGCGTGGGTCGGACTTCTGCGGGTCAGTGACAGGAGCCACCTCAGCCTTCCAAAGTCCCTCACTTGTCACTCAAAATGTTCTCTCTCTGTCTCTCTTAGGGGAGGGAGGGAGAAAGAGAGGGAGAAACACACTGATCAGGGGCCTCTCCCATTTGTGGACCAGACGGAGCCGGAACCCCCACAACCCAGGCAGGTGCCCTGGTGGGGAATCCAACCTGCGCCCTTGGGATTTTTGGGAAGATGCCCAACCCACTGAGTCTCAGCCCTTGGGGCTCCAACTGTTATTTCTGATAAAAACAAAAACTGTGGGACCCCCCTCAGCCAGGCCACCTACTTTTAGGGGGAGGGAGGCGGCAAAACTTTCAATGTGTTACTAAAAAAATTAAACAAAAAAGAAACAACAGAAACTTCTGGTCAAGTCCAACGGGCCGAGGGACAGAAGTACTGCGGAGGCTCACTGTGACCTCTCTCGGGAATTCACAGCCAGACAGCTGGACGGATAATCGTCACCCTGTCACTATTGCTCAAATCCTTCACCTTGACTGCTGAGCTCAAGGACCACCATTTCATTGATTAAGCATTGAGAGTCCCACTGCCTTGCATGTGCTGAATTTTACAAATTAAACAATATTTAAGAGCTAGCATCTGCTGCGTTTACACACTTGACTGTGCCCTGGGGCCAGTCAGCAGGGCTGTCCCCAGGGAAGGCATGGGGACAAATGGGCACCTTGATGCAGGACTGCCCACAAGGTCCGGGCCACGGTGGTGACATCCTGAGATGCCTGGCCCGGTCGGTCCAGCCTCCCCTCTTGCACCGGGTAAGGGGAAGGGGTCCTGGGCAGGGGCCACTCCACCTACGGCTCAGCCTCGAGGGCCCTGAGTGCCCGCGACCTGGGTCACTAGGAGCGCCCCGTCTAAACCCCCACGCCTAGCTCAGCTGTGAGCCCCACCAGTGGCCACCTCCCCGCTCGCTTTTCTTCCTAACCCGGGTCCCTTCACTCGTGGGCTGGCGCGTGTTCAAGGTCAGGGCTGAGTGTGGAGAGGCTCTGCTGCGGGGACGCCCTCCGGCAGGACAGCCAGGGCCGCGACGCTGCCCGGTGTCACCAGGCCCCCGGACGTCTGGCCCCCGGAGAAGTCCCCAGAGACGCAGCGTCCCTGGGGCGCTAGGAAGCAGGCTCCCGGGGCGGACCTCCAGCCCGAGCCTGCCCCGCGCTGCGGGGACTCGGGCTCCCCCCGGTGGCCGCGGGGCGGCGGTGCAGGCGCAGGCGCAGGGGCGGGGCCGGAGCGGGGGCGGGGCCGGCGGCGGAAGGGGCGGGGCGGAGCCGGGTGGTGCTGATGGCGGGGCCGGCGGAGGAGGAGCTGGGGGCGCTGGCAGCGATCTTCTGCGGCCCCGGCGAGTGGGAGGTGCTCAGCCGCTCAGGTGACCGTCTGCCGCGCGCCGGGGGACCCGCTAGGGTCGAGGGAGTGACGCTCTTCGGCGGCCGGAGCCGCGTGCGGGACAGGCGGGAGTGGGAGGCGGCCCCCTAGGCACGAGCAGCGCCACGCCCCTGCCTGCCCGGCTGCCCGGAGCCGGAGGCCGAGGCTCGGGCGCCCCCTTCCGGCGGGTCCGTGCCGCCCCTCCCCCACCCACCGTGCCCGCCGGCTCCCCGCGCGCCCCCCGCGGCCCACGTGCCCGCCCTGCCCCTCGCGGAGCGCCCAGCCCGTGCGGCCGCGGCGCCCGGGCCTGGAGCGCCCCCCTGCGCGGTCCCGCAGTCCCGTCCCCTTCTCCCCTCGGGCCTCTCCCGACCCCTGGTCTAGACCCGCTTCCCAGATTGCCTTACCGGCCGTCCTGTGGGCACCAAGCCTCTGTCCACCCTAGAATTTGTCATATAACCACGTGTATTTCCCATAAAAAATGAAAACAAAGTTGCCCTTATTTGCTTTAAGATTGTTATCAGCTTAGAAACACTGATTAACAGGAAAAATAATTGTGCCCCAAACCTAATGCTAATCCCCGACCCTACCCGGCTCTCCAGCCTCGCTGGTAAATTTGACTCAGGAAGTCCTGGCTCTGAGCAGACGTCTACGCCCCGGACCCCGGACGCTCGGGTGCTTGGTGGTCTCAGGTAGCTGGAGGGCAGGGCCTGCCTTGTGGTCACAAAACTCCGGGTCGGTCCCAGGCGCGCAGGAGGTGGTCAGTAAGCGCCGAAGTTTGGAATCCGCACCGAAGTCGGAACCGTTTCTCGGTTGTGTTTCCCAGTTGGTTGCTTCTCTTAATACTTTTTCGAGGCCCCTGAAAGTGTCGGTTGTAGGCTCCTGGGGGCACGTGAATTGTGGAGCGCACACTTACTTATTCCCTGTGAACATACGCAGTTTCCAAGGATGTTTTTGGTGACTCCTGAAAACTCACTCTGTCCCTGTTTATGGCTTCTGTTAAGTAAAAACCCAAAACTGCAGTTTATGGAAAAGGGCAGTGGTGCTGATAGGTGTGCATTTTCACTGGGCTTTCGGCTACAGTCTGGAAGTATTTCGGCGAGGGAGTTAACCAGCTCTTACACGTCCGCCGGTCCCTGTTAAAGTTGGCTTTCTGACCATAAACCGACGGGCTGTTACAGAGGCCGTGGACTGCGTGCTGGGTGTGGTGAGGAGGCTGTCGGGGACCACATGGTTTCCTGGCTCCGGTGGAGATGCTGGTTCCTCTCCCCGACAGGTTCCCTGGTCCCCCATCCATGCAGGTCCCTGGAGCTCTGCCCTGTGCCAGGCACCATGACGCTGTGGCCCAGTTAGGGCTTTCGTTTTAGAACCTTACCTGCCCCGTGTCTTTCTCCAGTTCTGTAAAACCCGCACGGAAGGGTCCTGTGCCCTTGGCACTGCCCTTCCAACCGGGTGGTGTCCCTAGTCCATCGCCTTACTCACTGTCTCCATGGCCCTCACTGGTCATTGTTAATACTTGGGCCCAAGGCAGCCCCTCTGCAGAGGTCAGCAGACCCCCGAATTCCTTTGCTATGGCTCAGGTGGGAACACCCTGGGACAGCGAAGCTGTGGTTTCCCGAGAGAGGCTGAGTGGCAGGAGCCTGGGTCAGGGCTCTGCCGCTGAGCATCAGCCACAGCCACCGGGTGTAGCAAACCCAAAAAAGTGAGTGTGGAGAGAGAGAGCTGTTCCTTCATCTCCAGAAAGCTGTGGATATTTTATCTGCTGTTTAATTAAGCATGACTTTCAAGCCGTGCCTCCTAATGGATTTAATTCAGTGTTCTGGCGTCAATAAATAATTGAGTTATAAAGGAATTTAGTAGAACAGCTTAGGACGTTTTGTTGCCAAGAGGCTCACGGGAGAACAGAGCGATTCTGGGACGAGGAGGGGCCGTGTGCTGGTCGAGGCTGGGGGTCAGGGCTCAGCAGAACTTCTTCACCAGACCCCGGCAGACCCGCTTAGGGCTGCTGGCGCCACGGTCATGGGCGTCCAGGGAAAGTCAGTTCTGAGTGGCTCTGACCAAATCGAAGACCTCGCTGTCTCAGATTTCCCTTGCGTTTTCCAGGGTTTTCTGGGATGGGGCGGCATTTACTGAGTTTCTGTGGCTGGTTGTGAAGCACAGGGAATGCTTGAAAACACCCCACGTGTGGAATCCGGGGTGACTTCTTTCCCTTTCTCTCGTCCAAATCTATGTTGTTTGATGTGTGGTAGCAGTACAGATTCTTTGCTGCCCTTGTCGAGAAGAAGGGGGTTTGCAACCTGCCGTAGTTGCTGCACTGGTACAAGGCTGGGGGCACTTATTAAAAAGCCCCCTCCCCCCAACAACTAGGGACTTGGCATGCGAACTTCAGCCATGGGCAGGGACTACGTACTCCGGCGAGGGCATTAGAATAGACGGAAATTGTGCGGGAACTTCTGGAAATGTGGGTGTTTGAGGGCAGGAGTGAGTGTGGTGGGGCGTAGACATCTGCTCAGAGCAACGGCTTCCAGACTCAAACTTACCAGCGAGGCTGGAGAGCTGGGCAGGGACGGGGATTAGCATTCGGTTTGGGGCACAATTATTTTTCCTGTTAATGACTCTGTTTCTAAGCTGATAATAATCTCAAAGCAAATAAGGGCAACTTTGTTTTCATTTTTTTATGGGAAATACACGTGGTTATATGACAAATTCTAGGGTGGAAAGAAGGCATTGTAACTGCGCTGCAAACTTAGGCGGATGAAAAATGGAAGGGTAATGTACATACTTGGAGTTTTAGGGAGAAAATGAGTTTTTAAAAGAATACGCACATTTATCACCACACTAAACAGCAGCAGAATGGGCTGTGCTCCTGGGCTTTTCATTGTCTCACAGACATAGCACTAGTTTGTGGCATTTTAGTTGGTAGCCTGTGCGTGGGGGGAGCAGCCGCCAGATGGTGTCCTGTTAGGTTCTTAAACACGGGGGGCCTTGCCATGTGCATGGCTGACGCCGTGTGGCAGCAGTCCCGGGGGGAAAGGAGCAAGCTGTGGCTGCCCTCGGAGGAGGGCGAACCTGGTGAGTGGGGAGGGTGTCTGGGGAGCAGCCGAGAGGTAGGTCAGCGTCCCCGCGGGCCCTCTGTGCCGTCCTGTCCTGATCTATAGACACGGGCTACCATGCCTTTGCAGGCTTGTGTGAGTTTAGCAGGGGTTTCCGGAATCATCAGTGGAGTCCTCTCTGGTCACCTGATAAAAACAGGCCTCGAAGCCCCCGGGCTGGTGGGCCGGATCCAGGAACACGTGTGTAGGTCCGAGAGGAAGTAACCTGTAACCTGGGCTTTCTCACCGGTGGGCGTCTCCAAACTTAACTCAGTTTTCACATGAAAAATAAGTCGACACAGGAAACAAAAGTTTCCACTGGTTGGGGCTTGATTCTGATTGAGTGATGTGCGGCTCAAGGCTGTTTTTGGATGCCTTCCAGAGACTGACGGCACCGTTTTCAGGATTCTCACGGAAGCCGAGGGGCCGACAGAGCATGTGGCCGTACCCTTGGAGTTGGTGTTCCACTTACCGGCCGGCTACCCCTCGTGTGCGCCCGGCATCTCCGTCAGCTCCGAGCGCCTGACCCGGGCCCAGCGTGCGGCCGTGAGGGAGGAGCTGCTGGAGCGCGCACAGAGCCTCCCGGCGGAGCCGATGGTGCACCAGCTGGTGCTCTGGGCCCAGCAGCACCTGGGGCGCATCCTCACCCAGACGGGCCTGGGCCCCGGCCCCGGCCCACGTCCTTCCTCCACGACCGGACAAGGGGACGAGGGGCTGTGGATGGCTCTTCTGCGCCTGGATCACATGAGAGCGCGGACCAGATACGTGAAGGCCCTGCGGCAGTGGGCGTCGGACTTGGGGCTGACGGGGAGGCTGGTGTTCCTGGGCAAGGCCATCCTGCTCCTGCTGCAGGGGCGCAGGGAGGACATCAAGGTGAGGCACGTTCAGTGGCTCAGGTGCCTTCGGCCGCTTTAAGAGTTTCTTTAACCTTTAGTGACAGCTGCAGACTTCAAAAACTTGAAGACCGAGAAAAAGGTTGTGTTTGAAAAACTATGCCACACTTGTCATGGGTGAGGGGTGGTGAGGAACCTCTGTGGTCTGCGACGGTTTGTTTCTGGAAGGAATCTCAGCGTGATGCACATGGCTCCAAGTTTGCCCTGGGAGAGGCCCAGGAAGGGCTGTCTTCCTGGCAGCTGGCAAAAATGTTACTTTGTGGCAGTGAGAGGTGCCGTCTGGTACTTTAGCTCCCCGCCTGCCACTCTGGGAAGAGGAGCCAGCCCTCCTAACTGCCTTGCAGTGTGGGTGTGGGGCGTTCCAGGGGCCGTCACCTCCCTCCTAAGGTTCACTTGCCACCTGACTTGTCTCAGCCACGGCTTTCCTGTCATCGTCCTCTGGTGTCTGGGGCTCTGGTCCTGGCGCCTCTAACTTGTCTTCTGTGGGACCAGACAAGGAAAGTGCTTATTAAATTTTAGATCTTAAAAGACTCCCAAGTCACCTATTACACGTTATGCCTTCAGGTGGGTGGGGCCAAGAATCATGACAGTGGAATTTACTTAAAGGACATGGAGCTTGCACAGGCCATCCTCTTAAAGATTCGTGGAATTACTACCGAGCTTCTTCAAGGAGGGGGCTCGCCCCACAAGGCTTGTCTGGCGCCTGGCCGGGCGGACGCGTGCCGGCTGCCGCAGGTTCCCACAGCTGGTAATTCATGTTCAGCAGGGGTCCTGGCTCGGGGTCTGACCCAGGAACCATGCACTTTAGGGTGACTTATAGTATCACCCGTAAACCTGGATCTTGTCCAGTGAGATGACTGTCTGGAAAACGGGTGTGAAGTTCTCTTCTTGCTCCCACCGCCCTGCAGGTTCTGACGTCCAGGTCAGCGTGGAGCGGCCGCCCCGCAGACATGGCGCACCTGGCCGGAACTTGGCTGGGGCAGAGAGACTGCACTTGTCGGGAGGGCTTTCTTTTTGATTAGCTGTCCCCGAAATGCCACTGCATGTAAATAGTTCCGCCACATTTTTGTAGGGTCGCAGGCGAGGGCCGAGAGGCAGAGGTGCCCGTGTCCAGGCACCGTCCACTCAGAAAGGCAGGTGTGCACCTGTGAGCGCCATTCCCACGAAGGAATGTGACAGTGACAGTGGCCGGTGCCAGCAGCACCCTGCGTGTGTCTGCACTCCGAGTCCTAAGCATCCCCTGCCTGCAGGTGCGCAGCAGCTTTCCCAGGTGCAGGGGGCCAGGCGAGCGGCCCCAGGGCCGAGCTGGCGGGCTGCCCGTCCAGGATTAAACCTGAGTGGGCAGATGGCACCACCTCTCCCTTCCACGTTCCCCGTGCGTCCCGCCGCCCAGTGGTAAAAACATGCTGACTCCCCCTGCCAGGTCCAGAAGGAGGGAGCCCTGGAGCAGGAGGATCAGCCTGCGGGCGTGCGGCTCCGGGAGAAGTAGGCCCCGTGAGCCCTTAACGCCCGCCCGGCTTTGTCGTTTAGGAGTACCTGGTGCTTCAGAAAACCTGCCGCGTGGACGTGGACGCGAGTGGGAAGAAGTGCCGAGAGAAGATGCTCAGCGTGCTGTTCGAGGGCCCGGCGCAGCCGCAACACGCGAGGTGGCGCTGCGCTGCGATGCGCGCGGGGGCGGGTGGCCGGCCGGTGGTGGCGCTGGTGCGCTCGGGCTCATCCGCGTGTCTCTGCTGCGCCGGGCAGGTTCCCGGCGTTCGAAGTCAGAGAGGACCCGGGCGTGGACGAGCTGCGGGCGGAGTTCGAGGCCGCCGGACTTCAGGGGCTGCTCTCCGAGTTTGTCCTCGGGCTGGCGAAGTGAGCTGGGAGACGGCACGTTTCTCGGAGACGGCCCTGTTCTCTTTTTTGCTGCTGTTGGGGTTGGATTTTGGGGCTGGATAACTGAAATTACTCATAAAGGGATAGTTCTGAGGTTTTCATGAAGCAAGATGGTAGATACCTGCCTAATTTCAGGAACAAAAGCTGATTCTGTTGGAATCTTGGCCGTAAAGTGGCCGGGGGTCCTGATTTTTGGCTGCGGGTCCAGTGGGCGGGGCGTCCCCTGAAAGGTGGGAAGAGGGCAGTGGGAACGCCCCTCAGACGTTCACATCGCGGATCTGCTCGGAGCCCTGCAGTTTTCTGGCTCATTTGTTTTTTTATAATAAAATGTTTTTTTAAAAAGATTTGTTTCCATGTTTACTTTTTTCACATCTACACTTTTAGCCTCTCATCGTGATTTTCCCCATTTATGTTATTAGGTCTGCTGTTTTAAGTTGAATGTGAAGAAAAACAGATTCCCTTGTAGGAACGCAGGCATCTTAAGTTAAATACCAGCCAAAGAAGGTCTGTGGCGTCTAATTTTCAGTCGCTTCCTTCGGGGGCCCCGAGTGGCACCACGTTGCTAACTCACCGTAGGACAAGAGTCACTGAAATGAAACTTTTTTGGAAAAATTTACCTTCTGGTTTTAGAAGAGGGGACCCGCTTCCCACAAAGAGAGCGTGACTTGCTGGATGGAGGGAATTCTACAGAGACTGCCTTTTTAGTGAAAGATGTTAAAATATGATCAACCTTAAATCGCATTGATGATTTAACGTCTGTGGAGTGCAGATGCCATAGAAATCCAGGCTGAAGATGACACCGTCAGAGAGTCGGCAGCCACCGTGTTGGGGAGCAGGCGGAGCTGCAGGTGCCAGGAGGCCACGGCAGGCTTCCAGGTGCAGGGCCTGGCGGTGCAGAAGGGCCACGCAGGCCGCTCGCTGCAGTCCGGGCAGCCCCGTGGTGTCCTGTGCACGCGGAACGGACGGGGGGACGGGGACGAAACCTTGTGTCGCCCAGGGCGTGCTCCCAGACCGCGCTGCGCGGGGACCGAGGCGGTTTGTCGGATTCTCACTTTTAGCCCCTTCTCCTAAAGGCGCGCCTACCTGTCGGACAGTTTCTGGGGGTCTGTTCACGAGGGAGTTTGCAGCTTGTTCATTGTTATTCCAGGGCCTTTATGACTGTTTCCCGGAGGACGAGTTGGATTGTTCAACAGGCTGATCAGGTGACAAGGGGAAACTTCGTGACCAGCTTCCAACACGGAACAGAGGCTCGAAAATGAGGGTCTCGTCGTCACCCCTTTGTTTGAATTACTGAGGTTTTGGGGAAGCCGGCAGTGACAAAGAATAGGGTTGAGAATATCAGCCAAGGAGTTGGGAAGGGTGGGGGGTGGTCGCCATCCAGGCCGTAAGAGGGGTCGGAGCAGGGGACGGGGTCTCGGGGTCGCCCTGCGGGACTGCTCCGTGTCTGCCAGCCTGGCCTCTCCGTTCAGGGGTCGTCCATGCTGTGCTTCTGTCCCCTCCAAGTGTCACCTCCGAGCCGGACCCTCTGCCCCGAGGGAAGAGCTCGGATCAGGTGAAACGGAGAGTCGGGGGCGGCACCCTCCCACACAGTGACGTTTCTACCTGCTGAAGTCGCGTTTAAAACACGGTTGATTATTACCACTGCCTCGGAGGTGGACATCTGTCCTTCATGAATACAAGTACGTACGCATCCAAAAACACAGTTAAGCCCCAGCACAGTGTTCAGTTTAAATTTAATTTGGCCTCCGGGTGAAAGAAAATTTACGGTTGGAGGCCAAAGGCCGAGTCTCTTTGGTCTCTCTTCAATTTTTTGTAAACGGAAAGGTGCCGTTTACAAAGCAAGTTAGCGGCTCGACTGACTGGAGTTTCCTCTGGCCCGGATGGTGTCTGTCGAGTCAGAACAGGCCGCAGAGAGGGACACGGGAAGGCTGTGCTTCCACCGCAACAGGGTGCGAAACGAGGGCTCCAGGGTACGAGCTGATTTTCTTTGTAAAAGAACCCACTTGCTTTGGGGCATTTTTCAGAACTCTAAGTGGTGTTTTCTCGGTTCATCTTTGGCCACGGGCATGCTGACGTGGCATGGGGGGGGGTTCCGCTGTGGCCTCCTCCCCGCGGACCCCGGACCGGTGCCTTTGGAGGGGCTGTGTCCTGCTGCCCCTCCACTGAGGGGTTCCTGGCCTCCGCTCCTCCCAGCCTCCGTGCGAGTCAGAAAGCTCCCAGGTACAGGGCTGCTGAGTCCCCCAGATTCGCGTGTTCTCCCCCTTCTTTCCCCTCGGGAAGGTCACCCATTTCCATAGCTCTCGGGGCCCCTGTGTGCGGTGGGGCCTCAGTTCTACAGACCAGGCGCTGACCGCTGTCCGACCCTCACTGCCCACTCTCGCTCCCTGCCCGAGACCACAGCCGGTCATCCTGCCCGCCCCTGGCGCCAGTGCGAGCACAGCAGGCACGGTGACGCCTCCCGTGTCCTGGGGTTGCCGTTGCTGCCGCAGCTGCCCCCGGGCTCCCAGGGTCGGCCTGGGCTGCTCCTCCGACTTCTTCCTCACGCCGCTGCGTCCAGTAGCTGCCGAGTCCAAGTCCAAGTCCCAGTGATTCTTATATTCACCCTTTTTTTTTTCCATTCTCAGGACCGCTGCTGTACATTAGATTCTTATTTTTTTCCGGCCAGGTCGATGGGAAGTCTCCAATCTTGTCACCTCTGGTCCCCGCCCCATTTTATCTTGTACACAGACATGGTCCGCAATCTCTTGTGTAAAACTCGTGGGGTCAGATGTGGTTTAAAATGCAGGTTTTTCTGTTTGATTCTTGGAGTTTTAGAAAGGCAATATGGAGAGAACACTGTACGTTACCCGCCCCCCGCCCCCTGCGTGGGGGTGGCAGCACATCCTGTAGTTGACATCGCCGTTTTACGCTGGAGTGAGGCACCACGCACACCAGGTAAGAGAGAGCACAGACGGCCTCTCGGTTTTTCACGTGAAACTTTAATGCCAAGTGAGTTCAGATCCGACTGCCTTTTGTCTCCAAGTAAACTATACAGATACAAAAAAGCCACCTACGATTCTCATTTTTAGAATGTTTGGGTTTTACAATTGCGGAAAGGGTTGGCCGACCTGAGCTAGAGAACTTCCTCAGATAACCGTACCCCCACCATTTCCCGCTGGATTTGGGGTGAGCTCCCCACGCTGCTATGTTGAAATGCCTCCTGGATCCGACCACACGCCACTGTTTCCTGGTTCTCTGCTCCGCTCACCTTCCTCCACCCACCCTTCTGCTTCCCGGGCTGAGTGCTCCTTGTGTTTTCTCGTCCACACTCAGCCGTGTCCCTCTTCCTGAAGTGGCCTTTCCTCTTGCCTGTTGCTGGGCCAGCTCTCTGTTGACCAAACAAGTCAACAGTATTTTTTCTATGTTTCCAGAACATTTTCCACGAGCAACAGTTTAATCCCCATTCTGGGATCAGTAATTAGGCTCTAGCCCGAGTTTGTGCTGCGAGCTTCTGATTCCCTGCATGTGAGGTGACAGTCCCACCACCCGCTCACCTCCGGGACGTGTCACCTGGATAGATGACACGGGAAGGCCCACCGGCCAGCGGGAGGTCACAGCGGGAACTTCACTGAGGTGAGTTCTCCCCTCTCCCCTCCTCCTTCCCCCTGTCTCTGTATCTGCCGTACTCAGTTATAGTCTTCGATCGCTCCCACCGTCCCCCTGCTACGTAGGAGTTTGGGGGGGAGCGGCTTGCTGATGGGAAGCGCAGCGAATGCTGTAAATACCGAGTTATGTGAAGGAGACACTTCTCTGGTGCCTTCGGGAGAGACTGGGCTGTGCGTACAGGAAAGTCCAGAAATAACCCAAAGCCAAACTGAGCTGATGGTCCCAGGGCCCATCTCGGCATTGAGTGCGTCGCTACAGGTTCAGCTGCCCCCTGAATGCACAAGTCCGCCGTGAGGGTGGCCGCCTGCCCAGACCACAGTGGATATCAGGGCCGGAGGGACACGGGCTGTCTCGGGGCACTAACAGGCCCCTGTGCTATCGGCAGGGTGGGCCCTCCCCGGAAGGCAGGGACAGGGGCCTGGCCAGGGGTCTGCACTGGTAAGATAGGGGCCACACCGCGTGGGGGTGAGGGTGCCGGCTGACCCCACACTCTCCCAGGGGCTTGTCGGCCTGTCCCTGGGCTCACTCGGGGGGTCTCCGAACGTCACCTCCACTTCTGTCTGCCTTCCCTTTCCTACCCCCAGGCTTCACTCTCCGTCTGGTTCTGGAGACACCTCCTCTGGAGCCGCTGCGGACCCCCAGCCCAGAGACCAGAATGCACGGGGCCCGGGGCCACGAAGTTGCTGCCTTTATGCCTGTTGGGTGTCTTGAGCACAGACGACCCTGTGTGTGGGACTGAGCAGGTCACAGAGTCTTACTCGCACTCCAGACAACTCACCGAAATGTTTTGCTGTCAGAGACACGGACATCCCAATGGAGGCTCTTTTTGCCCTGCTCTGAGCATTTCATTTTGTCCAGAAAAGTGGGCTCTGGGACTCACAGAGACCCTTAGAGATGCTCAGTTCCAGCTGGTGCCCTGACCGGCTCCCGCTTCTGCCCGGAAACCCCCCGGAGACTGGCGCCCGCTGCGGGCAGAGCTTTTAGTCACCGGGCCACACGCCTCTCTCGGTGACGTTCCCGCAGAGGTGTGACAGCACATAGCGGTCGCTGCTCTCCACCTCCCTAGTTGCTTGAGGAACTTATCAAAACTCGCTGCTGCCCCTGCTCACCCGGGCGTGTCCTTTCCCCCCATTCACAGGGGGGGGACTGCTCAGTGCCCCTCATCAAGTTGGGCAGTCCGGCCGGAGCTCTGTGTCAGAAATGTGGTTCAACCGGAGTGCGATGGCTGTGTCACGGGGCGGGGGTGACCCACGGGGAGCGCTTTCTCAGGGACGCCCCTGATGTCCCTTTAAAAAAGGTGGTTTGTATAAAAACACCAGGTAAACCATAAATTACCTTATAAATGAAATTCTTTGTTATATGCCATGTTAAGACTTTAAAAGTATTTAAAAAATCAAAAACTGTCACTTTTTTCTCCTTCCTGTCAATAACAATGCCAATTTCAACCTTTGGGGGAACAGAGTGTGTAGATTTAGCAAAAAGGCTTGTCTTATTTTCCTTGGCAAAACTATAAAAACCATCCTTAAATCCCAGCCATCATGGTGGGGTCCTGGGTCCTTTCTGAGCTGAACAAGTTGTAAACAATCCAGTCATTTTGGGAGCATGCTTCTTTTGGGTGCCTATCATAAATGTCATTTTATCTGTGCGAACTTATTCAATAAAAGAATAGCAGAGTCTCCTAGTGACATTTTTACTGAGCAGAACCATTTGCACATTCAAAGTAGAATTTTAAATGAAGTAATCTGCATTTCTTTCGTTTCAAACCTCACTTTTAAACATTTCTGACTCAAATTAATTTCGAGCAGAATGGGAATATGATTCAGTATTGTCATTTCCCCGTTTGTTCTCAATTGCTCGTTGAGTGCTGATTACGCATTCGGGCCTCGAAAAGAACGCGAACATTGTTTATCTTCTTTCTCCTAACTCCAGAAGAGTGTTTGAAAAGAGTATCTTTTTTATCTTCTGTGCTTGGCCTCAGTTTATACCCCGAACATTCCAACCGAGGATCTGGGCCCGTCTGGATGGAACAATCGCAGAACCGGCTGCAGCCGGTTATTGCTGCCGGGTGTAAAAATATGTGTCAATATAAACATGAGATACAAAGATGCGGCCCAGATGGGGTGACGGGAATGACGGGAGCCCCACACACTCCCCGCACGTGGCAGGGTCTCCGTCACTGTTTGCTGAGTGAATGCTGTGTGTGTCCTTTCTCCCCGGGCCTGACTGACGGTGGAGTTGTAATGAAGGGCGGGGTTGTGGGCGGTTGTACCACTGCCCAAGTGACTGGCACATCCTTGGACTGTACTGTGTGTGTTTACTGTTTTTTAAAAGATTTTACTTATTTTTAGAGAAAGGAGAAGAGAGGGAGAAAGAGAGGGAAAGAAATATCAGTGTGTGGTTGCCTCCTGAGCGCCCCCTACTGGGGACCTGACCTGCAACCCAGGCATGCGCTGTGGTTAGGAATCGAACCCGTGACCCTTTGGTGTGCAGGCTGGTGCTCAATCCACTGAGCTATACCAGCCAGGGCTTAATTTTTTAAAAACATGTTTACTGATTTGAGGGAGAGAGAAACATTGATTGGCTGTCTTCTGTAAGTGCCCTGACTGGAAATCAGACCTGGGACTTGTGCTGTATGGGACATTGTTCCAACCCACCGAGCTG